AGTAAAATCACTGTGGTTTGAGAGATAACTCCGACACTAAATCACATATTTTTTGTTTTATCTTGATTATTAAGAGGATATTTTTTCGTTTGCGTGAAATATGGTATATATTTTCACGAAACATGATAAAATGCCACATATTTTCACGAGCCGGTTCGACGGCAAATACGCCGAAAATATCAGGGACGGCTTAAGCCATCCCTATGGCAGTGAAAGGGTTAAGGTCCTGAATGGGGTATACAAAACATGATCTTTTTACCCCTCAACAGTAGATAAAGTCGACACTTAAATTTTTAAGTAAATAAATGACAGGAAAATCAGCATCATTAATTTATTTTTACATCTTATATGTTTTATCTATTTTTTGTTGATGTAAAAACAATTTTTCAAAAATCTTTCTCAAGTCTTTTCAGTGGCCTGTGGTCAATACATTTTTAACTACCTCATTGTAATTTAGTAAAAAGAACGTTTTGAAGCAGTTTTTGACAACGAAAAGTTTTGGTTATTTGAAAAATATTAAACTTACAAGAAAAAGCATCACATTCTATACTGCTCCTATACTTCTAGGTGACCATATGCTTTTTTTGTTGAAAAAACAAAGTTATAAAAAAATTATGTTTATCAAGTGTCGGGAGTTATTCTCGTATTCTCGGAGGGTTAAGGACTAAACTTGGTTGCATAATATTTATAAAACATTCTGTTACAGTATTTCTAGCTTGATACACAGAGAAACCTTATTAACAAAATATAAAGAAAGAAAGATCATAACTGTAAGCAAAACAAAAGATATTTCTGCTTGTATATACTGACCTTCACCCTCTATGTGAAGCAGGTGCTTTCTCGTATTCTCGTGGAATTTGATTGGTTGTTAAGGCTGGTAGCTATGTGATGATTTTATTCTACATATAGTGGAACTCCATTGTATCGTGCTATTCATTATATCGATCTATTTACAAATCTTTAGATTTTTTGCAAAATACGTCACCTACTGATTGTTAACATTTATAACAGTGTCACGAAAATCTTTCGCATTTATTTTTGTGCAGTAAAATGATCGAAAACATGTTTCCAGTACCGTAAGACGTTGTAGATAATAAATAGACTTATAAATAATGTGTTCTTATTAAAAGTACATTTACTGTCTGTTAAAAGTTCCTAAATTTATGCTGACATTTTAAAACAGACATCTATGTTTCTAATTGACTGAAATATCTAACATAAAGATGGTTAAGGCTTCCCAAACTTTGGCTAACTGAGCGATTCTCACAATGCATCGATATAATGGCGTGACCTAATTCTTCAACCTGTTTGACATGTCTGTAAATATCCGTATATTCCAAAGCTAAAAACTATATATCAGTGATGTTTGCCATGTAAATATTATGGCAAAAGGATCAAAATAAATGATACAAAATAAATATTCAGGGAGATTTTAAAATTTTAAATGCAGTTGTGATTTATGGGTAAATAGATCGATACAACGGGGTTCCAGGCTACCAGTTCAAATCATTAGTGCCACTCCTAATTAAGTGTTAAATGGCTTAAATCTGTAATATTAATGTGTTTTAATAACAGCTTCAGGGCCTTCCCCAGAAATTTCTGTAAGCGCAACTTGGAGGGGGTGGGTGTGGGAGGGGGGATTCCCCCTCCCGCATGTCGAAATTTTTTTGAAACCTTACAAAGGAATGGTGTATTTTGGTGCATATTTAATGAGAGTTAAGTCAAGCAAAAGGTGTTCAGTATTAACATATTTTATTGTCTTTTCAAATAACTTTAACAGAAAAATATATATCGCACAAAAATTTAAAACAATAATATTATATCAATTAATTATGACTGCCTAGAGCTGGCTACGCCTTGGTTTCTCCTTGTGCCAAATTTTCACCATGGAGTTGATATCGACCTTTTCTATTGGTGGTCCTAACATCCCAACAGGAAGGATGGGGTTGAGAACAGGTGGGCTCAAAGATGCCCTGTGTGTTGTTTTTACCCTCTTGAGGGTGGAAAATCCACGCTCACAGTCTGTAAAAAAAATCTTTCATGAATCAAAATAAAAACAACAAAAAAGAGTAATGTTGTTTACATTGCAAAAAGTTAGTAATTGTTTTATTTTTGTTTTGTTTAATATTTGAAATTTTGTGACTGAATAGTTTGTATGATTTGATTTATATTTGTAGTTATTATTATTCTCATCTGATGTTGATGTTGGGATCAACAGCAGCAAGTTAGAAGAGGTTGGTGTGGCTGACGTTCAAATTTGTGGTAACCCACTCCATGGCCTTGTCTGCTGCAAGCCCACTGTCAGCAATGGATTCCTTAACTTGGCACCACTCATGAAGGGTCTTGTCAACCACAAGTCCTCAGCCAGCATCTTTAATACAATTTTTATCTTGTAAATGAAGTTACAAACTACTCCCTTTAATTATTAACAATGTTTTCCATAAATGGATTGAACACCTAAAATAATACAATGTCATGTTTAAAAATATAATTGTTAAATTACACCTTGTTCATTTCAGCTTAGGAAACTTGATAACAACATATAGGGAAACTTCTGCATTCTCTATGTAAATAAAATTTTAGATTAAGCAAAATTTAATTTACCTTCTCTCTAAAGTTGACAGTCTCTTGTTCAGCAGGAGGCTTGATATTGAACCCTTTGGCCTGAAGGTCCTCTACCCTCTGCACTGCACTCTGGTAGGCCTCCCCTGGCATGGTCTGCAGATACCGCAGAACGGACAGTGTACCAGTCACAAGTGATTTTACAGTAGTGTAAATAGCATCCCCGGCCTGAAGATATCAAACAAACGGACAATTTATAACTGTTTTCAGCTTTTTAAATGTTTACTTTGTGAAAAAGACAAGTTTAAATGAACTAAATCTATTAAAGAAGGCATTAAACTACAGCAAACATTCAAGAATAAATGTTTGAAAAAATTAGTTTTGCAAGTGCAACATTTTTTATGCAGATATGCCACAAAAAAAAGTAGTAGAAAGAGAAAGTAAAATATTAAACACATAGTACTGTGTTAAATGAAAGTTAAATGAAATTTTAACTAACTATTTGAACAAAACAAAATTCATTATGTACCTCCATCAACCTCTTTAACCCAAGGAAATTCCGATTTCCACTTTAAATCAAAACCAGTGCATCTCTCTTTTCTCATTTTTTTAGAAGGGGGACTTGTACATCCCATAATTAAAGTGTCTCTACACTCGGTTTGATTTTCACTCGTCTTACTAAAAAAATTTGTAATGCTAATCGATCCTGATGCAGGCCTTTTCTTAGCGCCAGACATTTTTTCAAAAGTTATTATAAGTTACGAAACAGACTCTTTAAAAACTTTTTGAGAATGAAGTTGTCCTCAAGTACTCAAATTTATATATTTATTGAAACAACAAAACAATCTTACCTAAATCACATCGCATTTAGCACCTCCCATGAACCAATAAAACACACGCTTATTGCAACATAAATTATCCATAATCCGTAATCACCGTTGATCTGATAATTGATTTCAATCAAAAGCAATTAATTGCTAAGTTCTTCGAAAACAGATTGCTCTTTAATTACATCAACAAATACTGTGCATTATTAGCGGTCATATGTTTATAGACACATCCTGTCATAACACGAGATTAATTGATCGATGACGCAATACGACAATGTAGCACGAGCTATTACGTTGATAAGAAGTTTCTCCTGCAGTCAAAATGCAAGCGCCCCGGCGCTAAGATCAACATGCAAGCCAAAATCCAAGCGCCCCGGTGATCCGTAAACGGAAAAACAAGCGCCCCGGTGCCGGGGCGCTAAATTGGCCTGGGGAAGGCCCTGAGCTTGGCAGGCCATATCAAACTTTTAGGATCATATTGATGCCTCTTTGGTACCAAATGATTTTGATTGTTCCAAAAATTGTTTGAACCCAATTTAGTGTTGTTATTTACATAATCTCTCTAATATATATTAAATTTACGTTTATTTATTAGTAACTTATTAGTTATATGAGCATTAAGCTATAAATACTACTGTTTTCTATTGCAGTTGTCGAAAATGAAATGTGTTTAGGATAAACAATGTTTCATTATTGGTTTTTAATTGGAGTTTAAATCTTTTTTTATACTACCTATTCGTGGAACAAATATTTTGAGCTGTATTGTATAAATAGTTGTGTGAGACCGTCATTTGAAGCGTCTTGCGTCAGAGACCCACTACAGGTTTCTGCAACATGAAAAAAACTAGAAAATTGGTGATTTTGGGGGGAAAATTGATAAATTTAATGTTTATTCTCTGGATTTTACGATTATTTCCCGGTTATTTTGTTTTTTTTATCTGCTTTTGTCGCATTTCTTTTATTTTTTGGGGGGATGAAAATGCTCTGCTAAATAGACGTTTTCGGATATCGACGGAAGTCGCAAGCGTCGCTGCCATCCGTTTTGATTATTCCACGAGAATACGAGAAACCCCCTGAGAATACGAGAAACAGGGATATGCGTCGGAGTTATCTCTCCGACCAGTAACATTTGAATGCTTATTGTGTCGAATCATGGGCAGACGACGATATTTATTTTCTTACAAAGAAATAACTCTTTTTATTTCACTTTAATTCAAAAACGCCCAAAAACATAGTTCATTATTACTCTCCATTAGGTGAATTCCCATGAGCTATGTACAGAAAGTACTGGAAAACGGCGTTTAGCTATGTTTTCGATTTCTGTGTGTACTGTATAGATCTATCTAAATGTTCAAGAGATCAATTGATAATGAATCATTAATTAAAGAATTTATATTCATAATTGTTTTTGTAATCAATCAAGCAAAATAGATCTACTGTAGTAGGCCCGAAGTCTCGCGGAAAAGGGCCGAAACGATCAGGGGCCGATTTGGTTTTGGGCCGAAACGTCTTGTTTGGCTTAAGGTTCAAAATTATGTCTAGAGGAAGTGGATTTCATGTGAATAAATTATAAGAATTCCAAAATTTTAGTTTGGTAAAACAATGTACCTCTGCCATTTTGTCCTTATTTATCAGAACCGACTACAAATTTCCCATTCAATTTCCCGCGTTTCCGATTTTCTCCGATAGACCTTACCACTAAAATACGCAATGGAGATTTTTTGCCTAAAATGCGAAAGTGACTTTTAAAAACGAAAGTCAGAGAAAGCACAGACATATATATCAAAATAACTTAATATTTTTTATAAGCCGGTTTGATGATGTAATTTTTTTTTCAAAACGGCTAACATTAAGTTTTTTTTGATATATATGATCAGTTCATGTGCTGGGATTAACAAATGTACATTTTATTTGGATTTTAAAGGCGTTTTTACCTCCACATCCCAAGTGTCTGTGAGAGAAAGTGACTAAGGCCCCCACGGTTACGCGTTTAAACGGATTCGTTTCGATTTTCAGTCGAAACTGTTTACGATAATTTTAACCGTTTAATCGAAATGACCATATTGTCTTACAAAATATCCTCATAATTGCCGTAATCATGAATTCTATCAATTTTAATTGGTTTATTCCAAAGTAAAATACGTAAAATAGGTATTTACAACCATCCACACACCATTACCGTGCACTAATCGTGACATAATACATTGGTAAAGTTAATTTTTCTTTGATCTTTCAAAAGAGCGAAACAGGGATACAATGCATTGTGTACACCGGTCTTACTGTCTTACTGACGCTTTGAGACCGGTGCGTATACAATGGGATACAATGCAGAAAATGTGTGTGGACTCAATCGTGATGAGCCCTGAACATTAAATTATTTGTAAATAAAAAGTAAGTCATCATTTGGAGACTTGAATAAATGGTGCAGTATAGTACAAAAAAGTACCATCGTTTAAACGGTATCGTTTCGGTTCTTAGCAATCGTGTAAACGTTTACAAAAAATTGTAAACGTGGGAGCCTCAAAAGTGACTTTAAATAAAAATATAAATTATAGCGTTCAAATAGAATTTTACAATAAAATTGCAATTTATAGACGTTTATTTAATTTTATCTATGAAATATGGTGCTATATCAGTCAAATATATTTCATATTTTTTAAAAATAAATATGAAATATAAATATGAAAGTGGGCGGAGTCAAAACTCATATTTATTTTCAGGGACTTCTTTCGCCATCTTGTTTGAAAAATCTGATAAATACAAAACAACTTTTTGTTGAATTTTGTTTTGAAAACTATCTAGAATGATAGAAAATGGTCTAACTAAGAAAATAAATCCGAACACCAATACCTTTAATTCAGTTATTAACGCTGTACAGACGTTTTAAGAGTTGTTTACGTGACGTCACAATATAGCGCCAAATATCGCGTGCAAAACAAGACGCATTAATATATTACTGCGCGCTGTACAATTGCAGT